AATGGCAAGCATTCTCTTATTAAACGGAGCAAAAAATGAAGGCAAAAGTTCAAGCTGATTGCAATCTTTTTGGTTGACAGAGTAACTGATGAAGCCGAAGTGCATAATCACCTTGATTGTGATTATTGTCCGATAAAATGCTTCAGTGCTATGGTGGCTTGTGCAAATAAGCCTTATTACTCCATGCCCATGTTTTCTTAGAATCCAGCCAACCTTTTTATGAAGATTCTTCGTTTATCATGCAGTTACTTTCTTACAAGTTCAGGTAATGTGTGTGGGTGTATGTATAACGTTTTTTTCATCATGGAAGAGAAATGGAAATACATTGGCCGTACAGATTGTTGTTTTTGTATACTATGTGTACTCATGACTCATTATTGGACTTTTCAGTTTCAGTTAACAGATAGTTGCAGTTTAATCTATTCTCTGCTACCGAGTCGTTCTTGAGAAGATAAAATTAGTTTCATACCAAAGCACAAGCAATCAAGGACCTGAAGAAGCATTAGCAAATAATGTTTCTCTGCACTGCCATCTTCGCTTGCCGGTGTTTCTGGAAGTTGAAATCTTGTGTTGACTTAAATGTATCCTGAGAAGCCAAGGATGTGGATTTCAAGCTGCATCTGATGAGATTTGAAGAATAATATACTGTCCTAAATGTTGATTTATGGCGATTAAATCTTCAGATTTTACAGATGTATATATGTCTGATGATCTGCTGTATTTTGACAATACAGTATACAAAATTGTAACCTGATATTTTATTGTCGTCTTCATTTGTAAGTTTAATTGGGCAAAATTATTTGTGCAGCTATTGAGTTTGTTTTATGAATAAGGTTTGAAAGCAACATCATGCATAGCATTTGATATGGTACTATCCCTCTCTGAAAATCGGATCGGCAGCGACATAACATGCCAGTTATGTGATCAATCTTGTGAATTATAGAATTTCCCATATCCCAATTTGATTGAATAGACCTCTGGATCGACGCTGGATTGGTTACCTTGCAGAACTTGTGTATCCTCACCAGAACTTCCAGTAACCTGAAATCTATGGAATTTTCAATCAATCCAGCGCCATACAGTCATCTGCCCTCTGTAGCTGTGTTTCACGACCAAGTATTAACATTTACTTAGGATCTAAGGCACCTCACTGATGGAGAATAGTTTCCTTCTTGCTTAAGCGTATTTTCCGTCAGCATCATAAGTGCTATGCTACTCATATTGTCTCTAACCAGCATGGTCATTTTGCTTCTTCTCTCAACTAATAATAGGTTTATGATCTCAATCACATTTACAAGCAAACCACTTTAAAATGGTAGATGACAGATAAAGAATAGTTGTAATATACTGACCTATGCCATAAGGTAGTTGACAGAGGAAGGTAAGTATAAGGACAATTGTAAATGTAACGACTCATGAGATTTGTTTGGTAATAAACTTTGGGTATGAAAGAGAAAAAGTGAGATTAAATCAACATAAAGCTATTATTTGTGGGATTTCTGTTCACTTTCTTCAATTTTCTCAGTAACCAAACATACAATTGTCCATCAATCCCAAAACTCAATAACTCTAATAACTAACAAATACATAGGATTCAGGTTACTGTTTCTGCCCATTTACAAAATCTTCTTCTTCATAGCCTATTTATTCGTAGTTGCTTCATCGATGAGGCTTTTATTTATTTATTTATTTATTTATTTTTTAATGTTTGATTAGTGAGGAGATGGGAGATCAAATTGCTACCCCTTTCAACATTGGAAATGAGCAGGTACCTCCCCCTTCTCCCCTGCTTGACACTCAGGTTCAATAAGGGGTTTCTTTCCTCTCAATGTAACTGAAAAAACATTTATCTAAATCATCTCGATTGGGCTGTTTTTGGTGGCTTTCTATGTTGAGATCTATTGGGTTGAGAACTTGATTGAAAAAGTATAGGCTAGGCCACGTGTGGAGGACTAGACTAGGTTAGCTTAGAAATGACCAGATTTCGTGTGAAATCAAAGAAGAACATGGATATTGTCTTCGCACTTGGATGGATGAATTATTCATAAAAAATTGATGTCTTAAAGTTATCCCCACCCACTCATCCTTCAACCTAAGAGACAACATCCTTACTTTCTCTTGATTGCATACTTTCTCTTGGATGGATATTTAGCTATAATCCAAGCTAGCCTAGTCTAGCTAATCCGAGGGCTGATTTCTACTGTAGTGATAAATTTCATTTTTTCGATGTAAACTCTAACCCTCAAGCTTGCTCTTGTCCCGATAATTTAATTTTAGAGTTGCTTAGTTGCTAAGTTTCATTTTTTCGATGTAACTTGCTCTTGTCCCTATAATTCTATTTTAGAGTTGCTTAGGAATAAAATCAAATAAAAGCCTTAGTAGTACTGAGATAACTAAGGCTTATTTTTATGTATTTAGCCTTTAAGCACTTTGGTGGGATAAGATTAGTTGCTCTACAAGTTTTTTTTTTTTTTTTTTTTTTAAGGCTTCTGAGCAGTGGCAGATCTAGGATTCTATGGTCACAGTGTAAAAGTTCCAAAAATTTTATACGAAGAAAATAATACTAAAAAAATATATAAAGATAGTACTTCCATTCATATTTCATAACAAAATTAATAATATAAATTACAATTGTCCGCGATGAGTTTTTATCTTTTGAAAACATTGCATTATAGTTTCATTATTAATACAAGCAAAAACATCCCTCTCAATGTAAACAATATCTCATCTACTTCTATTGGTCTTGCACTTGAACTACCCAAATTAAACAGAGGACTGTCCGTAGATAATTTTCTTTTAAAGAATCGTTTCATAAATCTACACATTAATTAATTCAATTAATCATTAAGTTTTATCCAAATTATCATATGAATATGAAAATGTCAATAACCCACTACCAATATTCAATATACCAAATTATCATGTCAATTAATATTCAATATTCTTCAATATACCAAATTATCATATCAATCAATATTTCATATATAATAAATCAATCCACATTATCATTTCCATAAATTTCATTCCGTAAAAAAAAAAAAATCAATATCAACAATATATATGTATGTATTAATATTATCATTATAAATTTATAAATAACATTGTTTCTCACTTGTAGTTGAAAAAAATGGCAATGAACGGCGGCACAAGGTGGTGGTGGTCAGCAATGACGGCAAAGAGGTGTGGTGGAGGTTGGAGGTTTGGAGCTCTTAGGGATTGTAAGGGGGAGATATGAAATTGGGAATGAAAAAGGGTTTGGAGCTGTTGTGCTGAAATCGGGTAAGGGCTGAGTTTTTCTTTTTTCTTTTTAAACCTGGCCTAAAACAACGTCATTTTGAGGTCAGGTCAATTAAAAGATAATTGACTGAGCCTTGAACCAAACGACATTGTTTGGCCAGGCTCGTTTTAAAAATAAATAAAACAACCTTAGACATACATGCTAGGATTTTCGTCGAGTGCACAGGGTCGCTCCGCAGCTATCCAAGGAGTCGTTCAACCCCTCTTGTCCCAGCGTACGTCCACTTATACTTTTGAGCGTAATCTTGTTCTTGTAATTATGGTCAAAAGAAATTATATTTTTTCTTGTTCAAAGAATTTATGGTGATGTGTGTGAGTAAATGTTGTTCCTTTTTTATTTATTTATGAAAAGTAAAGGTTGTTCTTTTTGGCCATACCCGATTCATTAGGATAGAAGCCCATGAAGACCCTAATCCTGGGGAAAATTTGTCATCCCAAGACGTTTGAAGGACGTTTCTCTCAGCAAAGGGGACCTTTCTATTGTACAGCTGTGTGTTTGGATTGCTAGTTGTAATCAAAGCCCTTTAAGCATTTGGTGAGACTGACGTTTTAAAAAAAAAAAAAAAAAGTATATGCTTTTGAGCATGGTTAGTAAAATACAGAAGAGAAAAAGTATGTATAAAATATGTATGTAAAAATACAAATGAAAAGTTTGGTCATTATATAATATTTTAATATAATTTATTTAAAATTTGTAATATGTATTATTTTTATTCAATATTATGTGAAAAATATGTATAACATGTGAATTTTGTCTGTATATATTATTAATTTTTTTTAAACAATACATATACTAAACGTGAAAAATACATATATACATATATAATATGTATATTGTATAGAAAAAAATACATGTATAGAAATATTTACGTATATATAATACGAATATTATACTTGAAAATGCTAAATAGGCTTTTCAGTATAATCTGATCATCATTGCCTTTGGTTTCCCCTGGACACTACAAAGATATATGGGCTAATAATTAATGCACGAAGTGTTTAGATTTTTGCGCAAATATTTTTTGGTAGGTTGAATATCTTTGTCTTGAGCGCCGGCACGCAGATACCCCCATCCGAACCAAACGACAAGAGCGCCATGTTTAACTTTAAGTTTTTACTGTTCAAATGCAAGAGCCAATACATCACATGAAGGTCGCCAAGTGCATGCTTTGGAAAGAAAAGGTTGGTAGTACGTCCGGACCTACCAACTTCATCTTGACTAGAGTAATGGGGTTGGGTTTGGCTAGGGGTGGCTTGGGGTGACGACGGTGTGGCTTGGCCACATGGGTTTTGGTGGTTTCTAGATTATTTTTTCTCTGGACGAAGGCTTGAGTTAATGGAGTTGAAAGAAAAGCGGTTAAAAAACCAAAAGAAGAAGGAGAAACACGTGTTGTTTTTTAAGGAAGCCACGTCAGCTGTGGAGGAGGAATGGCTCCTGATAGCATTGTCCTTATCTTTATTCTTGTACTAGAGGGGCAGACGTGCATGATATATATGTAGTCTTTTCAAGGAACATTCTGGCTTTGAAGAAGTTATCTCCTATTCTTTGCTAGGCAGCCCAAATCTCTAGGCATATGCCCCAAAAAAAAAAAAAAAATTCCAGTTGTTTGCAGGTAGATTTCAATTCAATATTAAAGGTAAGAGGGAAAAAAAACATTCTTGGAGATAGTTATAGTTTTTTTATAAAAAAAAAATATATATAAAACACCAAACTCAGTGATAAAACTAAACTAAAAATAAAAAGAATAAAATTTAAACAATCTGAATGAGATGAGATTAGCAGGGGATTTGAGAAGTGAACCACTCCATCACATGAATTGGGGCTTTGACCAACTCCAGAGCCAACTCCACGACCACCGTCACGCACAAACAGCACGGGCATATGCAAGTCAGCAACAATCCGACGATCCAGATAACGATGCCGGCGATGGAGAGGACGAGGGAGAGGAGAGCAAAAGGAAGGCCGAGCAGAAAGCCCAGAGGCCTGCAATCACCTTCTGAAGAGCACATTTTCTCTCACTCTCTTTCTTCTTCTTTGATTTTGGTTCTTCAGCAGCAACTGCTTGAGAGAGAAGAGAATGGAGAGAGACTTGTTTAGTAATGGGAGACGGCACACGCTGTGTGTTGTATTGTTGGAAGGTTCTTGTGTTTTTCTGGAAATAGTTATAGTTACTTGGACTAGGGATACCAGTCCATGACTTTGACTCTATTAAGACAATTTCATTGTCTGGGATAAACATTATTATCACTTGATATTCAGAGGAAAATATTCTTGATCATTTGAGATTAAGAAATAAATATTTTTTATCACAAACTTTTTAAATGAAGTAGAACGATGTAATTAAAATACAACATTACTATTTGTCAAATTGTCATCACCATAAGTAGAAAAGATACAATCTCTACAGGAGCAATATGCAAAAACTTTCCATATATGCACCCATCAGGGAACAAAAAATACACAACAAGGATACAAAAACAACAAAACCAACACAAACAAAGGCCAAGATGGGGTAGAGCAGTACCCATCTATTTATCTAACATAGTTAGGCACTCTCTAAAGAGCAAACTGGACAAAGCCAGAGTAAATTGCAAGAATAACTAACCATAATTCATTGAAAATAGGTTAGCTGTAATATTCTTGAAGCCCTGGGTATGTGGCTACCGAAAAAGCGGTTTGAGCAGTGCAATTCTGTACTCTGTCTGATAAAAAGCATTCTCCTCCCGCCAGAAATACATGACATCGCCAGCAGCGATGCCTCTCTCCTTCACAAATACTTTCCAGTGTTTTGCCTGGAAAACTGGTTTTTTTTCCCTCCCTTCTCTACCAGATAAATAGAACACATAGACCTTACCCATTTCGTCTAAGACTCTCAGTGGGAGATCGTGTGCTGGATCTATTTGGGGCAGGAATTCAAGCATTCCTCTTGTCACTGTAAGTCTTTGATTGACGTCAGACGGCGTCAACTCTTTTTCAAATCGATTCATTTTTTTCTGGGGCCTCTACAAAGTTCGAACACAAAACTGGAGCTGTCGAGATCCGTACGGACGTAGCTAGCTGCTTATGTTAAGATGAAGGTGAGATGCAGCATATATAGAGAGACATCACTCTTCATTTTGTGGGCCAGGAGCGAGCTAGAATTGTAAAATTAAGGGGGTTGAAGTAGAAAATACGAATAGATAAAACACTTAAGTATTCAATCAAAGAAGAAAAGAAAAAAGGTTTCCTCTGAGACCTGAGTTGTTTAGACGGAGAAAGTGAAGAGAGAAGATGAGATTTTCTTAATTTGTTTGGTTCAATTTTCTTTAATGTTATTAATTATTGAAATGTGACAATTTTCTGTTGGCCGATTTTGCAAAGGCGAAAAAATGTACGCTTTCTTCTTTAATTTTTTTCTTCTTCTTTTTGTCAAACCCTAGAATAGATGGGATATGTTAGTAGTAGGGGTGGGCATATAAACCGGAAAACCGGAAAACCGAACCGAATCGGATGAAAAAAAACCGGAAAAAACCGAGTTGACTAAAAAGTCAACAAAACCGGACCGGACCGGACCGGACCGGTTCAAACCGGTT